GACCCAAATATGAAATACTGGGTCGGACCAATCGTCGTGCAGATAATAAGCATCATTCAGATAAAATTTGAGATACACCCACAACAAATTACTACAAAATTTGGAAAATCTGATGAGGAGACTGCAAGGGAATCACAAATAATATAAAAGTGAAAATCTTGTAAGGGGCTATGTATTCACACAGTCATTCTTGTATTTGGAGGAAAGTGCTGCTAAAAAATTAAAAAACAACGACGATCCAAATGCCTTGGAGGCACAGGGTAGCCTCACACAAATTAAAAAAAAAAAAAAAAAATTGAAACAGGGTACTTACCAGCATGCTTAGAAAGATGATGCCCTTCAAGAGCTTCCCACTTCCCAAACTGCTCTCCACATTTGTAGCACGTCACTGTTGAAGACCCATTAACATCTGTCTCAAGAAAAGCCCTAGGGTTTGACAGACCACCACTACCACCACCACTACCACCACCAGAGCCTTCTCTATCTGACCCAAAAGCAGCACTACTCTTTCTTTGAGTTGTTGAGGTCCTAAATGAAGGGCTGTTATGATAGTGCATTGTAGAGTTGTGACCTCCAGGACCAGGTGTGCCAGGCCTTAATGTACCCACATATGTTGAGCCGCCGCCGCTGCCACCGCCACCAAGTTGTTCTTGGAAACCACCAAAACCAGTGATTTTGAGCTCACAACTTGAGCTACTCAAAATCACTTCATGGGTTATTGGGTTGAGGAATTCATGGCTCCCTATGGATCTTGGACTACAACTTGGGGGCTTCTCAATTTGCCTCTTGCTTCCATGAATCACATCTTTGAGATTTGCTATAGACCTTGAACACCCTGACCTCCCTCCTTTTCTAGTCAAGATTGTGCTCAAGTGTCTCTTAGCCTTTGGATCATGAACATCTGATGGCTTTGATTTGCAGTGCAAAGATCTCTTCAAAGAAAACCAAACTGTTGGCATATTTTCTCACTCTCTCCCTGGCTTCGTTTTTTGGTTCACTACTTCCTTGAAAAGCACTTCACTTTCCATAACCATTTTCCTTTCTTTGCATTTTGATTTCCATTTTCAGAAACCAACCATTGAAACACCAAATCATTGGAAGCAAACCATTTTGAAAGCCATCCAAGGACTAATAAATGAAGCTGTTTTGGAGCTTTTTTTTCTTAAAATAGGGGAGTCAGTTGCGAAGGAAAAGAAAGAGAAATTCAAGAAAAATGAGAATCTTTGGCTATTGGGCGAACATGACAGCCAATCTGATAAATGACAGTAACTGAGAGTAAAAAACAAACAACCCAGAAAGAGACAAATTGAATTGGAATTCATTGACTGACACCTACTAGTCACCCAATTTGAGAATTGAAATCTTCTTTCAAAGAAATCACATGTCTCTCAAACTAAGAAAAATGTTTGGCTCTAGAGTTGCTCTAGAGCTGCTCTAATGACGTGGCAATTGTATGGATTCTACCTTAATGTGATATTTTGGCTTAATTTTTTTTTTTGGAAGCTGCCAAGTTGCCAACTCAGTAGAGAGCTACCAATCACTGCTACTACAACGGTCCGGCATGACCCCGTAAACTGTCCCGACATTGATTCCGGTTAGCATCTACATCGGTCCGGCATGACCCCGTAAATTGTCCCGACATTGATTCCGGTTAGCTTCTACAACGGTCCGGCATGACCCCGTAAACTGTCTCGACATTGATTCCGGTTAGCATCTACATCGGTCCGGCATAACCTTGTAAACTGTCCCGACATTGATTCCGGTTAGCTTCTACATCGGTCCGGCATGACCTCGTAAACTGTCCCGACATTGATTCCGGTTAGCTCCTACAACGGTCTGACATGACCCCGTAAACTGTCTCGACATTGATTCCGGTTAGCTTCTACATCGGTCCGGCATGACCTTGTAAACTGTCCAAACATTATCTGCTACAACGGTCCGACACGACCATACAGTGTCTTCTCCAACGGTGTGACACAACCATACCGTGTCTTCAACAACAATTTGACACAACCATACAGTGTCTCCTATCCTATTTTATTTTATTTATCAGTTTACTTTCCTGTTTTGTTACTCTCTCCAAACTCAAGTTGGTTAGTACCTATCCTCCTTGAGTTTGAGAGGGGCTGTTAGTATATTATTATATGTTAGTGTTTAGCTTTAATAATTAGTGTCCCCTTGCTTTATGCTTTCGGTGCCTCAATTGGCATCTTATGTTGTCTTCTCCTCTCTATAAAGAGAGTGTATATCTCTTTGTAAATATACACAGAAATACACAGAAATACACAAAAATACAGAGTTATTCATTTGCTCTCTCTCCCTCTTTATCAAACTATTGTTACATTGCAAGACCTCTCTCACACTTTCTCTCCCCACTTCACAGTGATAACTGCAAAACTTCTCCATATAGCTAATTCTGATTCTTTTCTCGGTAACCAACCTAACACAACAAGTCTCTTGGGTTCAACTATTATGGATTTGGATATACTAAATCTTGATGTGGATAACCAACCCATCTCATTCTCCATGCAAACAAATGTTGGGTCTAACAGGTGGCTGTGAATCAATCAATATGGTGTCTCCAATACCGGATCAATCCTTCCGTCGGACCACTACAAGCTCTTGAAATCAAACGTCGACGCTTTGAATCTCATCCAGCTCGGTCTCACTCTCACTGACGCCGCCGAAAACCTCACATATCTCGGCTCCGGCGAGAGCGGCTTCATTTGGGAGTTCAATTTCTGTAACTTCGACGTCGCGCGTGACCCCCACGCACCAGACTTCGTCGAGCTCCTTCGCAGCCAGGGCATCGAGCGACTACCTCAAGGCTACCAGTGGGTCCTTTGCTGCAACCGCAGGCACCACTGACGCATCTGTAGGCGGTGGATAACAACTGCGCGTCACCATCGCCCTCTTCCGACATCATTGGCAACCTCCCGGACCGTTGTAGAAGCTATTGGTGGTGCACTGAGGAGGCGACTTAGGGAATGCGCTATAGGATGGCTTGAGTGGTTCCCATGGTGTATAACCATGCTCACCAGCTTGGGTGGTTCGCATGGTGTGTAACTATGCTCACCATGATATATGTATAAAGTTTATGTAAGATAAATTGATAGAGAGAGAATAAATTGTATGTATTATGATTGATGTTAAGTGTGTCTTCACAATGTGAAGATGACTCTCCTTTTATAGAGGGTAGAGTGTACAAAGGGGCAAAGAGAGCCGAAAGAAGAAAGCAGAAAGTATGCACTAAGAAAGCACTAAGAAAACAACATGATTAAAGCTTGGTAATTTACAGCTAACATATTATGCACTAATATATAATACATATAATATACTAACAGCCCCCCTCAAACTCAAGGAGGATAGGTACTAGCCAACTTGAGTTTGGAGAGAGTAACAAATCAGGAAAATAAAATAGGATAGGAGACACTGTATGGTCGTGTCGAATCATTGGTGAAAAACTGTATGGTCGTGTCAGACTGTTGTAGGAGCTAACCGGAACCAATGTCGGGACAGTTTACAGGGTCATGCCGGACCGATGTAGAAGCTAACTGAAATCAATGTTGGGACAGTTTACGGGGTCATGCTGGACCGTTGTAGAAGCTAACCGAAATCAATGTCGGGACAGTTTACAGGGTTATGCCGGACCGTTGTAGAAGCTAACCGGAATCAATGTCGGGCCAGTTTATGGGGTCATACCGGACCGTTGTAGAAGCTGACCGGAATCAATGTCAGGACAGTTTACGGGGTCATGTTGGACCGTTGTAGAAACTAACCGGAATCAATGTCGGGACAGTTTATGGGGTCATGCCGGACCGTTGTAGAAGCTAACCAGAATCAATGTCGGGACAGTTTACGGGGTCATGCCGGACCGTTGTAAAAGCTAACCGGAATCAATGTCGGGACAGTTTACGGGGTCATGCCGGACCGATGTAGAAGAATTTGGTGGTGCACCAAGGTGGCGACTTAAGGAGTGCGCGCCATGGGGTGGCTTGGGTGGTTCCCATGATATATAACCATGCTCACCAGCTTTGGTGGTTCGCATAGTGTGTAACTATGCTCACCATGATATATGTAGAATACCCCCCCTCAAACTCAAATAGGTTTGAAGATAGAAACCTATTGGAGGTTGAAACAAAGGATTGATAAAGTGGAGCAAAACGTTCAACACAAAATGGAGATTTAAAAAAAATAAATAAATAAAAATTGGTAGAAAGGTTTTTTTTTTTTTTTTTAAGTTTTTTTTTTGTGTTGTAAAATGGTGAGCGGGGTGGATCCCTGATAGGAATAAAACAAGGGTGTTGTGCAAGCTGGATGGCAAGAATGGTACAAGGTTGTTGGAGCAGAAAAATCAGTGAGGTGATGTTGAATGTGTGTGTGTTTTATTTTTTGCTTTGTTTTTTGTTTTTTTTTTGTTTTTGGGAATGTGAAACTGAAAAATGTAAAAAACTATAATAATAATGTAAATATATGTAGCAGCAGTTGAAGAATTTTGTTTTTACGTGTTATGGAAGGAAATCGAATAAAAAATATGGTGAAACCCGCATATATATATACATATCAGTGATTAGACACAACGCATGTGTAGATAGACAGCTGGAAAGAGATTCTAAAGGGATGTAAAGAAAGTGCATGGCAATATTTTTTATTTTTATTTTTTTTAATTTGTTTTTTTATTTTTATTTTTGTTTAAAAAAAAAATTTGACTGTGGTGATAATAAAAATAATAATAATAATGAGAATTTGCTCAGGACATTGTCCAGGAAAGTGATAGGAGATAGGAGGAGAGAGAGTGGGAACAAGCCCATTTGAGTGAAAAAGACAAAGAAAGTGGTATTTGTTGGAAGGAAATTAAGGAGGCACTGAATCACACTCATGATCACAATCCACGAGCTATTGTTCACTGAGGCTCACGAGCTCTCCAGTACACAGAAAATGAGCTCCCCTCCGACGCTCACAAGGCTCCGATCCTCCCCACGAACGATCTTCCAGCCGATTTCAACTGGCCCGATTACGGCACCGTCACTGGCGTTAAAGATCAAGGTTCATGTGGATCGTGGCGCTGCTTGAGGCCGAGATAATGGCGGCGGAACTCCACCGGAGAGAGATCGAAAAACTTGGTGACGCCGTGCACGGTGGAGGGATCGAGAAGCTGATGGGTCTTGGAGCAGCGTGGGTCAGGAGCTCATTGGCATAGGAGGGGTTGTGGTGGCGGAAGACAACAGAGGCGGCTGCCATAGCGGCGGTCGTCTCGCCGGCGAGGTCCGACCCGGGGTTGTTCGGGTCGATCTTGTAAACTTGCCTTGAAGTGGTCATGTCCTCTAGCCTTTGAAGGTAACCAAATCTCTGAGCTTCGAAGAAGAGAATGCTTTTAGTGAGAGCTTGTCCATAGTCATGACCAGCCAAAGCTAGAAGAAGAAGACCAAGAAGCAGAAACAGAGGAGCCATGGAACAAAGTCTCACAAACCTGAGCATTGTAAGTAACAACAGAGGGTATATTAACCGAACCTAGAAGAGTACACAGAGATGTTCTGACAAGAAAAAAATGATAGCGGAATAGGTTGAGGTCCGGCGGGCGGCCAAGGCAAGGCTGCCGCCCGCCAGTAAGTCAAAGAACAAGAGCTTAACCTATAGCTCTGATACCATGTAACAATAGTTTGATAAAGAGAGAGAAATACACAAAAATACAGAGTTATTCATTTGCTCTCTCTCCCTCTTTATCAAACTATTGGGAAAGAGAGAAGAGAGAGCAAATGAATAAGTCTATATTTCTGTGTATTTCTGTGTATATTTACAAAGAGATGTACACTCTCTTTATAGAGAGGAGAAGACAACATAGGATGCCAATTGAGGCACCGAAAGCATAAAGTAAGGGGACACTAATTATTAAAGCTAAACACTAACATATAATAATATACTAACAGCCCCCCTCAAACTCAAGGAGGATAGGTACTAACCAACTTGAGTTTGGAGAGAGTAACAAAACAGGAAAGTAAACTGATAAATAAAATAAAATAGGATAGGAGACACTGTATGGTTGTGTCAAATCGTTGTTGAAGACACGGTATGGTCGTGTCACACCATTGGAGAAGACACTGTATGGTCGTGTCGGACCGTTGTAGGAGCTAACCGGAATCAATGTCGGGACAGTTTACGAGGTCATGCCGGACCGATGTAGAAAATAACCGGAATCAATGTCGGGACAGTTTACGGGGTCATGCCGGACCGATGTAGAGGCTAACCGGAATCAATGTCGGACAGTTTACGGGGTCATGCCGGACCGTTGTAGAAGACTGTGGTGGTGCACCGAGGAAGCGACTTAGGGAGTGCGCCATGGGGTGGCTTGGGTGGTTCCCATGGTGTATAACCATGCTCACCAGCTTGGATGGTTCGCACGGTGTGTAACCATGCTCACCATGATATATGTATAAGACCCCCCCCCGGCCAACTTAAATAGGCTTGAAGATAGAAACCTATTGGAGGTTGAAACAAAGAGATTGAGAAAGTGGAGCGGAACGGCTCAACATAGAGTGGAGATGTTATAAAAAAATAAAATAAAAATTAAAAAAAAATGGTAGAAAGGTTTTTTTTTTTTTTTTTGGAATATAAAAAAAAAATAAGATAATGGAAAAAGGGTGATGCTCACTAACTGAGTTGTATAATAATGAAATATTGATGGAAAAAGAAAGATAAAAAAAAAAAAATAAAATAAAATAAAAGTAGGCATGGGTTCGGCTCTTCGAATCCAACCTTATCACCATCCCTAATCAAAACCTGTTGTGAGAAATTCTGTTTGATATAAGCAGCCTCAACAGGGGATACTAATTATTAAAGCTAAACACTAACATATAATAATATACTAACATTTTTTTTTTGAATGAAAAAAAAGGAAGATAAAATAAAATAAAATAAATAAAGTTAGGGGTAGTGGGATCAGATTGCGGGTCCTGAAGCCGTTGGTTGAAAATAATAATGATGTGGGGGGTGAAAAAGGAAATAACGTGGGTAATATATTATAATAATAAAATATATATATGCTTTGTCCCCTGAAAAAGTATGGTGGAATTTATGGGAAAGAAGAATAATTTATTGAGGAGAACCCATATCCACGTAAACCAAAGGTTGGAGCGCACATGCTGCAGAGGTGGAGCGCACGTTCATGCAGGCACGTGTATGGGTCAGGGATTGAGTTGCAGAGAATCCCATGACAATAGTTTCTTTAGTGCTGTCCAAAATGGAGAGCTCGAGACAGTGGAGACCGTCGTTGATGATGAGCCAAGTGTGCTGGAACGAACCACTGTTCATGGGAAGCTCTCTGGACTTGATGATGAGCCAAGAAAGGGGTTAATTAATTTCTGATAAGTATGGTGATGATGAGTATGGTAAAAATAAAATAAAAGCAGTGGGGGGTTCGGAACCTGTCACCTGTGGGCTAGGATAGCGGATGATAATATATTATGATGGGTTGGTATAGTGCGAGTGTGTGTGTATCTGCGGGTGATAGGAGAGAGACACAATGGGGTTGGTGATGTAAAAGGGGTGAAAAGAAAAAAATAATGTTTCTGCTTTCGGCTGTTAGTGTAATATTAGTGTGCAATATCTAGCTATCCAGCTATCCCACTAATGATAATCTTTCTGCTTTCGGTGTTAGTTAGTTAGCATCCTATGTATACCACCTTTTCTCTCTATAAATGAGAGTGTTGTAAATCACTGAATAATCAATCAATTGAATACATACAATTTATTTTCTCTGTATTTCTCTCTCTATCAATTTATCTCACATGGTATCAGAGCTAGGTTAACAACCTAGTAATTCCGCTTCACCGGCGGGTGGCAGCCTCGCCTTAGCCGCCCGCCGGATCTCTATACATACCTTCACTCCGTTGCCACAAACCCACCAGTTGGCAACCATCAGCAGACCAACACACAGCATACACACACAGACTAACATCCCTATCATGAAGGCAGATAAAGGAATTTTGCAACGTTTGAGTGCTGCAACTAAGGCTCTATATTGGCCTGTGGGTGTTGATGGTAAATCACCCGCCAACCAAGATTCATGTTCCAATTCCACCTCATCATTCAACAAAGAGTGATGAGTCATTGAGTAGACCACAACAGCTAAATCAACAAGGCCGTATTCTTGAGGCGGCTATTGAAGCAGCAGCAAATGCTTTAGCTCTCATGACATCGTCTGCGAAAACTCCTCGTCAGCTTTCTCTTCTCCAGTGCTGGAATCGTCTCAAGAGTCAGAGCCAACGCACAACCACGCGCCACCCATGGCGCGGGCTCCTCAGCAGCCTTCCGTCGTCGCTCATTATCGCTTGCTGAAGCCGCTCCTGCAGCGCCGCAACAGTGGCCTCATGCGCCCTTGCCTGAGTCTGCCACGCCTGCGCCTCCGCGAAGATCGCTCGGCAGATCCCTTCCAACCTCTCCGAGCCCAGCCGATGCTCGTGGCCTAGCGTCATCTGCGACTCCGGCCGCGTCACCGAGTTCCCCGTCCCCGGCATGGGACTCTCCGGCCAAGTCCCACCCAAAGCCATTGACAACCAGATCCGGTTCCAAACACACTCTCTCTCTATTTTCAAACTCATTTTACTTTTCTTCTTTTATTTCTTTATTTTTTTCTTTTCACCCCTTTTACATCACCAACCCCATTGTGTCTCTCTCCTATCACCCGCAGATACACACACACTTGCACTATACCAACCCATCATAATATATTATCATCCGCTATCCTAGCCCACAGGTGACAGGTTCCGAACCCCCCACTGGTTTTATTTTATTTTTACCATACTCATCATCACCATACTTATAAAGTGGAGCGGAACGGCTCAACACAGAGTGGAGATGTTATAAAAAAAATAAAAATGGTAGAAAGATTTTTTTTTTTTTTAGGTGGAATATAAAAAAAGAATAAGATAATGGAAAAAGGGTTGATGCTCACCAACTGAGTTGTATAATAATGAAATATTTATGAAAAAAGAAAGATAGAAAAAATAAAATAAAATAAAATGAAGGGAATGGGAACAAAAATCTGGAAAGACTCACCACCTGAGTGTTAAAATAATGAAATCTCGATAGAGAAAAGGGATGATGGTTTTTGTTTTTGTTTTTGTTTTTGTTTTGTTTTGTTTTGTTTTTGTTTTTGTTTTTGTTTTTTTTTTTTTTGAATGAAAAAAGGAAGATAAAATAAAATAAAATAAATAAAGTTAGGGGTAGTGGGATCAGATTGCGGGTCCTGAAGCCGTTGGTTGAAAATAATAATGATGTGGGGGGTGAAAAAGGAAATAACGTGGGTAATATATTATAATAATAAAATATATATATGCTTTGTCCCCTGAAAAAGTATGGTGGAATTTATGGGAAAGAAGAATAATTTATTGAGGAGAACCCATATCCACGTAAACCAAAGGTTGGAGCGCACATGCTGCAGAGGTGGAGCGCACGTTCATGCAGGCACGTGTATGGGTCAGGGACTGAGTTGCAGAGAATCCCATGACAATAGCTTCTTTAGTGCTGTCCAAAATGGAGAGCTCGAGACAGTGGAGACCATCGTTGATGATGAGCCAAGTGTGCTGGAACGAACCACTGTTCATGGGAAGCTCTCTGCACTTGATGATGAGCCAAGAAAGGGGTTAATTAATTTCTGAGAGATGATGTTGAGGCTGAGTCCAGCTTGTGGTGGTGACGCCATTGATGGTTCTACTAGAATGATCATTTGTGCCAACATGCCGCAACAAAACCAGAGACTTCACAGGGGTGCGAAGGAGGATCTCGCTCAAGGCATCGTCGTTGCCGGCGATTGCGTGGGCTGATGATGGCGGCGACGCTGTAGGGCCGTTGTGTTCCAAAGCCGATGAAGCGACAGCTGCGATGGATTCCTATTGTAGGATGGAGGGTGGATTTGAGATGTAAACTGTGATGTGATGTGGTGCGTGGCGCTGCTTGAGACCGAGATAATTGCGGCGGAACTCCGCCAGAGTGAGATCACAGAACATGGTGATGTCGTGCACGGCGAAGGGATCGAGAAGCTGGTGGGTCTGCGGTTGCGGAAGACGACGGAGGCGGTGGTGGAAGGCCTGAACAAGATCAAAACCGGCGAACTGATCGAGCTCTCTGAGCAAGAACTCGTCGACTGCAATCGAGCATACGACGCTGGTTGCAATGGCGGCCTCATGATCAACCCAGGGGGGTAGCGTGACCAGCTGCAAGCTGTTTGGTGTGTTGCTATCACCCACGGTGGGCAGAGGGTCCAATTGCAAAGCTGTCTGCTGGGTGCAAAAAGGAGCTATGAATCCTGTGTGTGTGAAACCCATTGTTGGGGACGATGATTGGAGGTGAAGAGTGAGGCAATTGGTGAGTGGGTCTGTTTGTTGTATTAAGAAGACTATCTTTGTTGAAGTGTTGTATTCGAGCTATGAATTATTGTTGAAGAATCTGCCATGAAAGAAGGAATTAAGGAAATTTGGGTTTGTCCGGCGGGCGGCCAAGGCGAGATTGCCGCCCGCCGGTAAAACGAAAATATTAGGTTCTTAACCTAGCTCTGATACCATATTAGAATTAATGTATAGGGAAAGAGAGAAGAGAGAGCAAATGAATAAGTCTATATTTCTGTGTATTTCTGTGTATATTTACAAAGAGATGTACACTCTCTTTATAGAGAGGAGAAGACAACATAGGATGCCAATTGAGACACCGAAAGCATAAAGTAAGGGGACACTAATTATTAAAGCTAAACACTAACATATAATAATATACTAACATTTATCATAGCATATTCAGGACTAAAGTTCATGATGTGTTAACAGTCAGCCAAGTAAGGGACAGCTTTACCAGATGGAGGGTCTAAATCAGCGGTACTACCCAATGCCAACTGCACTAAATATCTTTGCAATGTGTTCATCTGCTCACCAACCACTTTCATCCAAACATTTAAGAGCAACAAATTCTATTCTATTAAATTTTCTGGATTCAAAAGAGTTATGAGGTATTTATCAGATAAGGCTTTAAAAGCTAGCAAGATATTGCAGTAATGAAATGATTTACCCATACCCAGGTGGATGTGGTCAATAGTACCCCTCTAAAGGGGCCTATATAGAAGTTACTATTTTCAAACCCTAGACAGAAAAAGATTAATCAAGATCCTCTGCTATGTTTTTTTGGCCGTTTGATTATAATTTTTTGTTGACGTGTCATGCACCAAAAGTATAGTAGAACTTCCTTGCTTAAAAAAGATAGGCTCCCTAATTGGCCAATAATATTCTGTCTCAAAAAGAGTAAGGTCAAGTTTGGGAAGACTAAATAAGTGTACTTTTTGTCTTTTTGAACTAAAAAATTGAGGTTGGAAATATGGATGTTTGGGTTAACTTTTTGACTTTTTATTGAAAAATGTGTAATAAAAAATTGTAAAAATTGATTTGTAGGAAAAAATTTGAATTGAGAGTTGTGCAGCCGTAATTGTTGACTTTTGATGTGTTGACTTTTGGTGAATAGTGTTAACTTTTTAACTTTTTAAGTAACTTTTTGACTTTTTGACTTTTTTGGAACATCCCAAACTTGGCCTAAGTCTAAGAACACAAAAATTCTTCACAGAACTGGACATAGAATGTATTTGGATGGATAAGAATTTTTAGAAGTGAATCCCACCAATAAATTTCTGTAAAATCCCATTCATTCATGTGTTTTTTGTGTTCTATTATGTGTTTGGTTTATGTGTTCATTACATCACAGAAAATCTTGGCATTATCTTATTGCTGAAAATGTATTGAGACAGAAAAACAGAGATATTTTGGGAACAGAGAATTCTTGCCTTCCTAACCTTATCTTAAATGTTAGCTGGACCTATACCAAGAGGAAGCTCAAGAGGAAAATCAAACCTGACCATTCAAGAGTAGAGAGAGTCCTATTTACAGCAGAAATCCCAAACAAAGATAGGAGAAACAAAAAAATTATTGTCCGAGGACAGACAGCACAAGACGAGTAATCCTAGGTACATTCTTGCCCTCTAGTTTTGGATTAGAATTGACCTTTTTTCTGAAACATAACCATCCATCCAACTGGGAGTCTAGGACCACAAGCCCTTTTCACACTCAATGACGTTAGTGGATTCATGTCCATTAGTTGTGTACTAACCATGGTTTTAGTTTTAAATAACAATATCAAGATAAGTATCCGTATAAGCAATACAGGTATTTTTTGGTCAATATCAGACAATATGAGCCAATATATTGATGACTAAAGGAATCAAAAATTAAAATTTCCAATACATAACGGGTGATATTTAGAACTGTGGTAATGCATCCTAAAATGCACAAATATGCTCCAAAAAATGCAATTATCTCAGAAATTATTTGGTTGTGTTTTCTTCTCTTTGTTTTGTTTGCTTGTTTGTTTGTTTTTTTTTTTTTCAGAAAACACTGCCAAATTTAAAACATTTCTAGTTTGTTTCTCAGAAACTGTGAATCAGAACATTTCTTTCTTTCTTAGTCTTCCCATAGTAGAAGTGGTTCTTTAAATTTAGCCAACTATTCTCAATTTAGTTGCAATATTTCAATTCTAAATGATTTTCCCAACATTCTCAAATTCGGAATTCATCATTGCAGCTAAAACATTCTTGCTCCAACCATGATCAATACAATATACAAATCCTCCAAACATAAAGGAATTTACAGATTCTCTACAAATACTTGCATCAACATACATAAGTGATAAACAAGGAAGATACATATGCCACAAACGTGAAGAAGCACGGATATTGATCTATTGGCAAGTGAATAAACGAAAACAAACCAATGCCATGAACAAAAAAATGATTCACACAACCTTCATAATAGAACCTCAAGCATTAGTTCTTCTCCTCAAGCATTAGTTCTTCTGTTCTTTAAGGTTTGCAGATTACCACAAAGCAAGGAAGGAGAGCTTTAGGATTAAGCAAATAAAGCTCCTCAATATTCGAATAAAGTCCCATTTTCCCAGCCAACGCGTGAAACCCTGTCTGGCCCACCATTTCTTGAATGTTCTCCAATGGTTTATGAACCCTTCCTGCAATAACTCGGCAAACAATCAAAGCCTTCCTTAAAGAATGATCATTATTTTCTCTGATTTCTATAGATTCAAAAGCTCTCCCACTCGTGGAAGTCGTGAAAACACCTATTCCATCCTTGTTTTCTTTCTTTGTGGTGAACCCATGTCTTATAATTCGACAAACATTACATTTTTCTGATGTGCAGAGGCTGCAGGATCCATTCATGCCGAGAGAGCAAGCCACGGTTGTGCCATGGAACCTCAAAAGCTCATTCCCATCGGCTATGCAACGAGGGTGCTTTTTGGGGAGTTTGCTGGCTTTCATCTTGACCATTTCACGATACTCTTCAAATCGGGAAAGGGTTTTTTGCGTGTTGTGGACTTTTAAAACTCGCTCAATTCGACTACATTGGTTCTCGGATTTCAGCCAGCTTGTCCGGCAAATTATTTCAACGATTTTTCTTGAAGAATCACCCTCCACAAGTTCAGTGACTGTCCAATGGAGATCATAATTTCAGCTAATGAAATACCAATAAAGTTTTAAGGAATGAATAATAAATGAATCTAAAAGATTTCAATAAACCAAAGGTTTTACTTGGTAAAGAAACAATCAAGAATCTTGAGATTGGAACTATTTGTTCTACAACAAATGGAAGTGGGGGTTCTTTAAAATTGTGTTACACCGAAGGCGAAAAAAAGATGAAACAGGACAAACACACAAGCAAGCAAAGTTTACTTATTTCAGTACAAGTCTATGTTCACAAGCGAATTTACTATGAATGATCTACACAATAAACCCTAGTCCCCAGAAGTCTAGAACCCCCAAATAACCCCTGAAATACAAGGATCTGAAAAAGTAACAAACTGAGTCAAAATCATAGTTGTCAAATCGGGATTCGTATCGTGAATCGAAATGGCCTCGTACCGAATCGCGAATCGAATCGAATCGTGAATCGTAAAGATTCTGTCACTTTTTCTAAATTACTTAAAAACATATATCTACACATTTAAATGTTAAATATATCTTATGAATATAAAATATTTAGACTTAAATCAACAAAAAATATTTTTTTAAATGATAATCACGTAATTTAATAGGTAAGAAGTTAACAAAGGTTCCTATATAAATCACCATCTTATCTTTTTTTTTTTATAGATATTTTTTATCAACCATTCTTAATAAAGATAATAACCAAATAGACAAATTATTAATTTTTAAAGTAACAATAGTTAACAACAATATTGATATTTGGACAATAAACATATATACTTTTTTAAGTAAGAGTGAGCAAATAATAAGAAAGAATTATTTATGATATTTTATTTTAAAGCCTAAAACATTTTAAAATGTATAACTGACCTCATACATATAATATTCAATTTAATAAAATAGTAATAGATAATTCATAGTGTAACTTTAATGTTAAATATCTTTAGAAGATATATTACAATTTTTTGAAGGGGAAAAAAATAAGAAGAAAGGTTAAAAATATGTTAGGCTTGACTGAATCTGATTGGATCCTATAAAAAACTCCATGATTACTAAAATAACAAAAAATCATATATATATATTGGTTATTTTGGTATTAAATGCTATTAGAAGTTGTATTATGTCATTTTCACTAAAAAGATGGAAAAAATGAGTCGAAAATATGTCGAACACAATAATTTTAAAAATTGCATGAATCGTAAAAAGTGAATCGAATCGTGAATCGATTGTGAATCGTGCGATTCACTAGAGATTCACTTCCAAAATAGATTCACTCATAGATTCGTATCGATTTTGTAAAAATTGCGTATCGAATCCCGAATCGAATCGCGAATCGTAAGATTCGGATAACAGAGGTCAAAATAGACACAAATACAAATACTGGGGTCAGACCTATGGTCCAGTAAGCTTTCAAGATCATAAATCCTGGAACTCGGGAAATAACTTCTTAAATACAAGGATCTGAAAAGGTAACAACTCGGGTCAAAATAGACCCAAATATGAAATACTGGGTCGGACCAATCGTCGTGCAGATAATAAGCATCATTCAGATAAAATTTGAGATACACCCACAACAAATTACTACAAAATTTGGAAAATCTGATGAGGAGACTGCAAGGGAATCACAAATAATATAAAAGTGAAAATCTTGTAAGGGGCTATGTATTCACACAGTCATTCTTGTATTTGGAGGAAAGTGCTGCTAAAAAATTAAAAAACAACGACGATCCAAATGCCTTGGAGGCACAGGGTAGCCTCACACAAATTTAAAAAAAAAAAAAAAAATTGAAACAGGGTACTTACCAGCATGCTTAGAAAGATGATGCCCTTCAAGAGCTTCCCACTTCCCAAACTGCTCTCCACATTTGTAGCACGTCACTGTTGAAGACCCATTAACATCTGTCTCAAGAAAAGCCCTAGGGTTTGACAGACCACCACTACCACCACCACTACCACCACCAGAGCCTTCTCTATCTGACCCAAAAGCAGCACTACTCTTTCTTTGAGTTGTTGAGGTCCTAAATGAAGGGCTGTTATGATAGTGCATTGTAGAGTTGTGACCTCCAGGACCAGGTGTGCCAGGCCTTAATGTACCCACATATGTTGAGCCGCCGCCGCTGCCACCGCCACCAAGTTGTTCTTGGAAACCACCAAAACCAGTGATTTTGAGCTCACAACTTGAGCTACTCAAAATCACTTCATGGGTTATTGGGTTGAGGAATTCATGGCTCCCTATGGATCTTGGACTACAACTTGGGGGCTTCTCAATTTGCCTCTTGCTTCCATGAATCACATCTTTGAGATTTGCTATAGACCTTGAACACCCTGACCTCCCTCCTTTTCTAGTCAAGATTGTGCTCAAGTGTCTCTTAGCCTTTGGATCATGAACATCTGATGGCTTTGATTTGCAGTGCAAAGATCTCTTCAAAGAAAACCAAACTGTTGGCATATTTTCTCACTCTCTCCCTGGCTTCGTTTTTTGGTTCACTACTTCCTTGAAAAGCACTTCACTTTCCATAACCATTTTCCTTTCTTTGCAATTTGATTTCCATTTTCAGAAACCAACCATTGAAACACCAAATCATTGGAAGCAAACCATTTTGAAAGCCATCCAAGGACTAATAAATGAAGCTGTTTTGGAGCTTTTTTTTCTTAAAATAGGGGAGTCAGTTGCGAAGGAAAAGAAAGAGAAATTCAAGAAAAATGAGAATCTTTGGCTATTGGGCGAACATGACAGCCAATCTGATAAATGACAGTAACTGAGAGTAAAAAACAAACAACCCAGAAAGAGACAAATTGAATTGGAATTCATTGACTGACACCTACTAGTCACCCAATTTGAGAATTGAAATCTTCTTTCAAAGAAATCACATGTCTCTCAAACTAAGAAAAATGTTTGGCTCTAGAGTTGCTCTAGAGCTGCTCTAATGACGTGGCAATTGTATGGATTCTACCTTAATGTGATATTTTGGCTTAATTTTTTTTTTTGGAAGCTGCCAAGTTGCCAACTCAGTAGAGAGCTACCAATCACTGCTACTCAAACTAAAAGATTTTTTTTAATGAATCAGCAAAGATCTACTCATCTAGACTAGCCATGTTGTCCTTTCAGCTCATCCTAAGAGTAAGAACAAAGTTTTTTTTTTTTTTTTTTTTTAAATTTTATGTAAGGAAGTAGTTAGTTGTTTGAAAATCTACTTTTGAAATGTAATTTTCAATCACTCCATTCAACTTATGTAAGGTGATTTTATATTTTGACTCCTGTTTGTTTGAGCACAAATTTACTAATTTTTGGTATTTGGTTGCATAAAATTGGGGTAAAATACTTTTCAACAAGTTAAAAGGAAATTGACTTATTAAATTGATTTCCTTGAGTTAATTTACAATCAATGCTTTCATCCAAGCTGTGTATATGCTCTAGCATAAGCAAACTAAGTTGTTGGACAAGAACTAATTCAATATTAGTTCCACCTTAGTTGCATTTTTTATAAGGTTCATAGCCAAACATCAAAAAATGAGATTAATGAAATTATTTTGCAAGTAAAAATAGGTTTTCTTATATAGATTAGGTGATTTTCTCTCCTCACTTCCTCTTTCAAAGTATAAGAGTGCTAATCTTGTACAAAATATATATATGGACTTCCCGTGAGATTAAAAAAATATATATAGTAATTTTACAAGTTTAACATAATGATATTTAAAAAAAATTAATTTATATAACACTTAATCCCATTTCATTAATACTTCACTGGCCAGAACTAATGGACAAATAACAAAATTGGATTTCATTGTAAACCCTCTTAAGTCATTCAAGGAAGTCCTATATAAACCCCAAGTTTAAATTTCAAATACACCCCTATACTAGTGAAGTGGGGATACCATATATACCAAGCATTGAAGTTGTAAAAATAACCACCTTTTTGTTTTTGTTTTTGTTTTTTTGTTGTTTGCTAATCCAGTAGGAGTAGAAGTAAAAAATAAAATAAAATAAAATAAAAAGGGGTAACAAATGCTTTAACAAAACAAAAGAAAGAACAAGAAGCAACACAAAGACAAAAATAAAAAAGCACAAAACAACACAAAACAAGCAAAGCATTTGTTGAGTTCCCTCTCAACACTGCCTTAACAGAAAAGAAACCCTTTATCTTTCATACCAGTGTGTGTACCACTTATTGTTGAAATATATAAAAGCAAATTGAATTCCAAAAACACCACATTACATAAGAAATACTAATTGTACAAATGTCACATGTGCAATTGGACCACCAATAAATCTCCACAATTGTTATTAGGCAAATTATACCAGTTATTTCTGTAATTTGTGTCTGGTGTCAGTTTGGTGCCTATAGTTCAAATTACATTAATTTTACTTCTAAAATTTTTATATTGTGTTAGTTTAGTCCAATTAATAATACCCCCTTAAAAATTAGATTGAAATCAAAAGGTAAGTAATTCATTCGTTGTTTTCAAAATGATTGGGTGATTAGTATCTAATTTAAAATAATTAAATCCCTTCTGTCTTTCTTTTTTTGAACTCAAGAAAAAAGATGTTTTCTATGGTTTCTTCACCGCATCCGTGGGCCTTAATCCCAAAATAGCCGGTTGCCAGTCAAATTTAACCCAACCCATAGGAAGGGATCTACTACCGAGGCACCAGTGGAGCTCAGCTATACGCCATAGAAGAGCCAAGAGTCGATCGGAGTACAGTGCAATGTCTCAACACTACAAGAATTTTCACTTTTGGCGACTAAACTTTTAGTCGCCAAAAGTCAATCTTTAGTCGCCGAAGGTTTTTAGCGACAAAAATATTTGATCGCAAAATTAGTCGCAGAAGAATTGTCGGGAAAGATCATTGGCGACTAAAATTATTTTAGTCGCCAAATGTACTACATTGCTGACTAAGTTTTTAGTTGCCAAAAGGTTTGAAATAAAATTAAATATCATATTTTCGGCGACTAATTTTTTTTGTCTCTAAAAACTTCACTTATTTTTAATGACTAAGCATTTAGTCGCGGAAAATATTTTTAGCTACTAAATATATTAGTGGCCTAAAGTAAATAACAATGTTTTGGCTACTAAGATTTTAGTCGCGTAAAGTCAATTTTTTTTTTTGCCTACTAAAGGTTTAGTCGTCTAAAGTTTTATGTTTTTTGCTACTAAGATTTTAGTCGGCAAATATTTTGTGTTTTGGCTACTAAACATTTGGTCGCCTAAAGTCTCACATTTTTTGCTACTAAAGTTTAAGTCACCAAAAGTTATTTTATTTCTTTAGCTTATTTTTTTTAGTTACGACATATTTTAGTTGCCATATGTTTGACTGTCTTTTGCTATAAAATATTTTAGTCGCCAAATGTTTGATTTTTTTTTGGCTACTAAACTTTTAGTATCCAAAACTATTTTTCAAATTTTTTTTAGCTACTAACAATTTAGTCACCAAAAGCATGATTTTATGTTTTATCGCAAAATTATAATTTCTTCACAATCTATATATTCCATGCAACTTGTAATAAGTATATAAACCAAACAATACGTATCCTATCAATCATTCCACATCCGCATCCGTATGTAAAAAAATGAATAATTTTAAACGTCAAAATCCATACAAACTAACTATTGTCCAAACTAAAATAATAATTCTATAAAAAATATAGAATCATACAAAAATCAAGTCCTCCGTATAAAAAAAATACATGTACTAGCATGCGACATAGCCATTTGGCATGGTACAAATTATCATCGTAATCTATACCACGACAAAAGGTGATTGATGGGTCATTTCACACACCAAAATTAAACACTAAATTATACCAAATTTCTTAAAATAATGATAAATCCAGGTATCGATCCACAAAGACAATTATAAAATTAAACTAATTTAATTATTGAATTCCTAAATTAATTTTGATAAAAAGATTGATCGTTCATAACCTAATAATAATTAAATTAAACAAAGCGAATATACTGGCAATTATAAATAACGATGAATTTACTGATTTGGGGAAAAACCTAGGGCAATAAGTTCACCACTAGTTATGTAAATAAGGTTTCGATTTTGAATCAATTATGCTACGGTTCGAACGGAATAACACTTCACAACTACAAGTTCAAAGCATTTATTAAAAAAATCATCACGTCCAATGTACGAGCACGAACCATTTCAAGTAGTACGAATCGTTCGCTCTAAACTAGGGTAGCGACACGACTCGTTCCTCATAGTATGGTTCGTCTCATATCTTGAATATGAAAGAATAGAAAACTATTTTATGGAAAAAATTCTTTTAAAATAATGGCAAGTCCAGATATCGATCCACAGGGACAATTGTGAAATTAATCTAATTTAATTGTTAAATTCCTAAATTAATTTTGATAAAAAGATTGATCGTTCATAACCTAATAATAATTAAATTAAACAAAGCGAATATACTGGCAATTATAAATAACGATGAATTTACTGATTTGGGGAAAAACCTAGGGCAATAAGTTCACCACTAGTTACGTAAATAAGGTTTCGATTTTGAATCAATTATGCTACGGTTCGAACGGAATAACATTTCACAACTACAAGTTCAAAGCATTTATTAAAAAAATCATCACGTTCAATGTACGAGCACGAACCATTTCAAGTAGTACGAATCGTTCGCTCTAAACTAGGGTAGCGACAGGACTCGTTCCTCAGAGTATGGTTCGTCTCATATCTTGAATATGAAAGAATAGAAAACTATTTTATGGAAAACATTCAACAATCACAGAAAGCTGAATATTTGAAGAAATAGTGGAATATATATATGAAACTTCTAAAACACTGTACAATTGTTCGAACCTTTACATAATCAAAAACCAAAAAAAAAAAAAGAAGCCTAATTACATAGCTAGAGTTTCATCAAAACCTTAGAAAAGAAGAGCCTAGCCACTCATGGATGAGTGGGACATGGGAATTTGCTTTGAAGATTGAGAATTACCTTTTTCCAAACCCTAGCCTCTTTTTTTTCCTTCCAAATTTCAGAACCCTATTCCCATTTATTTTCTGTCTTTTTATACCTTGGCTGTCTTTCAAACAGGTTCAAAACAGCAACACAAAATTCGAGGTACGGCCACACGTGCGGGAATGAATTTTTTGCTCATTTTATGCTCCCACTATGTACAAACCTGATTAGCATTAAACAGGCATAAAATATTGTGGGGGCCGAATATTAGGAGGTACAAAGAGGCCGAATAAGTGAACTTAGAGACTCGAGATATATGTATCGTATTCGGCCCAGTCTTATACAAATTCAGAAGTACCATAATCGGCCACATAACCAGTTGAGCGAGGAGCTGAGTAAAGAGTGGCTTACAACAAAAGGAGCCAAGTAAATAATTACACGGTGGATTAAAGGTGGGCCCAGCCCTGAGGCCCGAAAGAAGATATAAATAAAAGAACATCAACCAAAGAGAGGTATGTGAGAAAAAGTAAGTTTAACTTAAGATATAAGCAACTAAGAGAGTAGACATTAACTTATCCGTCAGAGTGCTAATTCCGGCACCCCCAATCGAAGCGTTCATTCTTTTTCAGGTGACTAACTGAGGATTTCAAGCGCCCAATAGGATTTAAAAAGTATCTCCAAACCACTTCTCCACAATTGGCGTCGTCTGTGGGAATACTCCAGCACATCCATGGCGGGCGTGACAGAAGATCCTCCGGCAGTCGCTGACAACCTTACGCCACGAGTTGATA